AGGGGAGGTTTAGATTGGATGTGAGGAAAAATTTATTTACTGAAAGAGTAGTTAAACATTGGAACAGGCTGCCCAGGGAAGTGGTTGAGTCACCATCCCTGGAAGTATTTAAAAGATGGGTAAATGTGGCACTTACTTACTTAGGGACACGGTTTAGTGGGCATGGTGGTGTTGGGTTGATGGTTGGACTCATTGATCTTAGAGGTCTTTTCCAATCTTAATGATTCTATGATTCTATGATTCTATTTAACTGGGAAAAAATTCACAACAGAACAATCTCTCGGAAAAAAACCCAATACTTACCCCCAGTGACAATGACTTTTGCTTTTCCACAGTATGTGAAGGCATTGACACCTCTGGGGACAGAAAATTCCTTTACAGGTCTGTAATCACCAATAAAACAGTTAATCAGGTAAGAAACCTTAAGAAAATACAGCCTACAGTCATTCCACTTTACTTTTCTGTAGTATATAGAATAGCTGTTTGCGTAATGTATACAATCTTGTTAAAAGCAATTTGATTTATAACAGTGACTTAGATACTAGCATCAATAAAATGGGAACAGGGTACACTTTCCATTACAGCAAAAAATCTCTGATTTGAACACCTGATACTCCAAACAGAATCCTAAAATGGTAGCTGTTGCCAAAGTAAGCCTTCACACACGTCTGCGTGCTTAAAGCAGTTCATCACTGAGGAAAAGTATCAAACCAACTGCCTTTGCCTGTTTTGGTCATGGAGGTCTATTATGGCCTTTATTTTGCATAAAGTAAGTGCAGTTGCTTTTCTGCTGCTTACGTATAATGTATTGTATAATGCATAGTCTCTATTTTATCTATTTTGTGTTGTATAATAACATGAAGAGACTGCAAGTTTCTGAAACTCAACTGAATTCTTCTCTTGCATTCACTGCAAAAGCACAGGAATTCAAAAAACCAACACAGACTGAGATTGACTCAGTGTCCCTTTCGAACCCATCCTTTCAGCAACTTCTGCTTGTGTCTCCACGTTTCATACGTTGCTACTAATGAGTGAATATTTTCTTGATTTTTGGAGTGAGCAATAGCATGGCTAACACCCATCTCTCCCAGGAAACGATAAATGTCAGTGTAATTAAGCTATACAGAATTAAATGAGTACACATTTAATTTTTTTCTTTGAAATCCAGACAAGTAGGTAGTTCATTTATTCTGGGCTAGAGAGTAACCATGGATATTGAAAACCACAACTGGGGATGACAGTAAATTTGACAAAATACTCTGGAAACTTTGAGGATTAATGAAAGAGCTTGTTCTTTCCAGGCAGGTGTAAATGAAAGGCTGTTCACTCCCTATTACTCAGAGGGAGCAAAGCTTTCTTTCCAGAGCTCTAACAGAGGAATCTCAATTCTCTTGATGGTATGAAATAGCAAGTAATCGATTTAAATGTGTGATTGGCAGATTTCCTCAGTATTTCTCATCTTTTTCCTTTATTTCTTAAATTTAATACTTCTACATAACTGTCTATTGGCTCTTTAATGAACAGTCTTGATACTCTTCTAACATCAGTGTGAATAAGAGGTTTCAGCAGTGTGAAGTCCTTCCCAAGTCATGACCTTGCAACAGAAGCACCTGGTGATCCCATCCACACCTCCCTTTTTTAAAATACTTCACAAGAAAAGATTATAACTGCTCATCAGCCATTACCCACAAAGAAACTTAAGAGTCACACAGGAGACAAGATACATTGCATCCCTCTTCAAGCACAATAACAATCGTTTGCTGCAAAGTTAATTGGGGAAATATATTTTGCTAGCACCAGTAAATCATATATTTCAACCATAATTACTTATGGAATGGGCATTTCAAAGTGATTAGATCCGTAGCTATTTTTAGGGCTATTAATTTCATTTTAACAGCTGTGTAATTTTTCAGTTGTCTAAATATAATTTCATTTACCTGCTGCATGAAGCTGCTTAGAGAAATGTACTTACTGGAACTGGAGACACAATTATAGTCAGTGTCACATGAAAAAGACCTACCAAGATATTTGCGGTTAATGTTCTGTATAACAAACAGTGGATGGTGGTAGCATATACTCTTTTGACTATACTTTTGGCTCTGCAGTCTTTTTTTACTTTCTCCTCAAATTAATTCTATTTTTCCAAAACTCCCAGCAAAATCAAATAGGATTAATCAACTTTTCTCCTGACACAGTATGTGACCTTGGACAAGCTATAATTATTTCATATTTCACTTTCCCCATCCGCAACAGACATGTAATACTCATAAAACCTCAAATTATGGGGTTGATGCAAGAATTACTACATGAACATTTATGGCCTGTGTTATACAAGAGATGAAACAGATTATCATAACTTGCTACTAGCCTTAACAATCTGTTAATCTTTGGATGTACCTCACAGAGGAATTGTGAAGCTGATCTGACGTTTACAATGCTTTGAGATATTTGAATGAAAAGTTCTATCTATATGTTATTTATAGTTCCTTTTTACATCAAATTGTGTTTGTATTATTTATTTTAAATTGGGCTATAAACTCTTCTAAAATCACAGACTAGTAAGGCGTGGAATCAGCTATAGCACTGATGGGCCATATGAATTATATGGCACAAATAAGAAGGCCACAACCCCTTTCCTGCTGCATAGTAAATCCATTTCGCAGCCCTCAGAATAAATTGCTTTCTTGATTTAAGCTTCTGTGACTGAAACTTGTGAAACTGAAACTAAATGAAACTGAAACTAAATGAAACTTAGTTGAATGTATTTTTGTGTGGATATAAATTTTAAATGAATGGATACATGATATACATGTAACAAAGCAATCAATTTTCTAACTAAAATTTGCCTGCTGAGGAGAAGTTGGAGCAGACAACACTGCTTATTTTTAGGGGTTGTGAGTAATGAACATATATGGACAGTCCTTTCCTACATCAAAAGCTAACAAACAAAAATGTTCAAGTATTTAAGTAGTTGTATTTTTGTTTGTATTAACAATGCTTATAGAAAAGACAGCTTCAATACAACAAGATGGCATCTTGCAAGGCACTGATCTCATGCAGAGTTATAAAGCAAAAGGTCTATTTTTTCAGAAGATGTCATATACTTACAAGTTGTCCTCTAGTCGCTTTATGTCATCCAAAACAAATGAATGAATGCTGTCTGAGGAGCAGGATCCAAAACAATTTAGGTCAGAAATATACTTAACTTTCACAACCCAGTCATCATGTAGCTTGCGTTTAACACTAGGGATATAAATTAAGATGTTATTAGGATATACTAGACTCTACTGTAATATGCCCATAGGTGGACAGGGATTTTGTCGGTGAGATTATACACAACCAATGCTAGCATTTAATATCCAGGGCAGATACAGAACCACTCTTCCAGCTCTAAAGCAAGCAGAGCTAAAGTTAGGGTTGAATCATGCACTCCCCTAGTAGCAATTATGCTTCCATCTAATTGGGCACAATAAAGCTGTGCCTATGTCAAACTGGATAACAGCAATTGTGAATTCATCCCTGGAATTTTACTCTGCAGCCTCTCTGTTGTAAGATCTCTTGTAAGATCTCCTACTGAAAATGATGGCATTTCCTTCACATGACAACAAGTAAATCATACTTATTGCAGTTTGAAAAATTTTCTTTGTTAGGTGGGGTTAATTTATACACAAAAGCTAATCCTCCATTTAGGCCAGAGAAAACCCAAATTAAAAAAAACCCTGCCAGACAGATAATATGTTCTCATAAGCAACTTACATGTTAAAAGTTTTGGAGTCCAAGACCTGAAGTTGTGATTCTTTTTTGCCTTTACATTGTTTAAATCCAAAGTGATCACTGGTCACAGTAAGTAGGTGAACATAACCCTTATCATCTCCCATTAGGATATTATCCTTAGCCAGGTAATCTGACATAGTCACCGTGCAAACACAGAGCAGACCATTTTCCATTGGTTTGATGGTAAAGCAATTATTCTGTGAAATATGGTAGACAGTTTATTAGATGTTGCACACAAGCCCTTAAGTTGACTGAACATGCTTATCTACTTACATCAGCATTCAATTCTTGACTTTGTTTTTCAAAGCTCCCCCTGTGCTAGCTGTTTCCTCGTATTAGAAACTCATGGAAGATCATCACCAAGTGAAGTTAAATGCAAACTTCAAGGATTTCAGTGAGGCTTTATTTCATAGGTAGCCTTTTTCATTTCAGTGAGGAAATATTAATTACAAATTTTAGGGAGGATCTCACCATGCTAAGTGGGATGGTATATTTGCTAAGACTGTATATGGTTTCCTGTTCAAAAATAAGATGCTGTCTACAAGAAAATGGGAAATAGCCAAATTAAAGAATTATTCAAATGACAAAATGCTGCAGTAACACACAGAGAAAATTATATCGGAGTCCTAATTATTAATAAAGCCTGGGAGTCCCAAGTGTACTTATATGGGCAGGTGTTTGGATTTTCAGGAATTGAGATAGTGGGAATGAATACAGCTGCAAGCCATTGTGGTATTTTGCTAGACTGAGAAGTCCTGGGAATGGGATTTTGGCTCATCTGCATTATACAGTTTATTGGTTCTACTGCCTGACTCCATCTGTTATTTGATTAAAGCATCCTTGCCGACCTAAACTGGCAACTGTTCACATGCCATAGGAATTAACTGCTTCAATGTTGTCTGCATAGCACAGAAACATTAGAGACATAACACACATATAGAACTGTCTATATGTTATTTCTGTGGTCTCAAAAGAGAACGAACAGCTCCTATTCAGCCATAGGACAGTTTCAACTCTCACTGATGTAATGACTGGAGGAAACCTGGTGAATAATGACTGGAGAATACATTTTTGAGCATTCCTTCCCAGGAGCCCAGTTGGATTGACAGAAAGACTTCCATTGACCTGTCTGAGCTTGGGGAGAGGCCCTTTAATATTGAGAACAATAAAAAAAAAATCCTAAGGCTTGATCTTATCCTGAAATATTTACTTTGCTTCCTCTAATCTTCTCAGCCAACTCAGAATTGCTGAGAAAAGCCCCAGAAACAGCAGGAAAAATCTAAGGTATGGGTCAGAAATCCTTGCAAAAATTGTATTTTGTAATAAGACATTCAAGAAAACTTTAACTGTTTGGACATACACTGCCAACCTGAAGATCCTTTTGCTCTTGGAAAGTCCTGAAGAAAATGCAGGAGATGAAGAAATATTTTCTTTAAACCAGGAAGTTACCTCAAAGGAGTCTATGTTAAATTCCTTGGGAAACCCGTTCCTTGATTCTTAATAGATTCTAAGATATACATATGCACATGGACACACATTAGCTATACATGTGCACACATATGCATTAGATATACATAGAAAATAAATTCTTTGGGGGGTTGTTTGCAACACAGTACAAAATCTTCCTCTTTCTTTCAGGTTTTTAAGACAGTCTAATAATCCCATTTGGCGTGGAAAGTGTATTCCTTCTTTAGTATAAATTCCACTGTTTCACTGAGTTCCTACAAAGGCAAAAGTTAATGCCTTCATCCTGTTAGACAAAAGGAATGTGAATGTACATTGAAAAAAAAGACATCTTTTTCAGGCTTCCTCTTTAACATTTGCCTGATCCGACATACTACCTGACTCCCTTTTGATTTATAGTCCCAGACGATGACTGTCCTCTCAGTTACAGCCACGACACATTTCAGACGAGGTAGGAAATCACATCCAGTGATCCAAGCAGTATCCTGACGAAAATAAAAAGGGCAGCTACAGAAGGATTTTCTCTGTAAATTTTTAACCTTCTTTGCTATTTAAGTACGTATTTTAAACCATCTCCACATAAATTCCATATACTCTGTACTAGTGGCTGCTAGATCCAGCCCCAGCTAACGGAACTGAGAGTTCCAACTCCAGGAATAGCTCGTATGTGAAGTTACAGAGGTGCCAGGCTCAACCTCTGTTATCAGTGACTCACCTCAGATGCACAGATGTTGCACATGAGAGGACACAATACATCTACACTGTTAGCTGAACTTTGATGACACTCTGAAAAAAGCACTCTGAGCAGAGGAAATTTAAGCTGTAATATCCATGGTAAAGCAGATTAAGATTTTTCTTGGATACAGTTTAATTCAAAACAAAAGAAAGTTAAAAGGCAGTAAAAAATTCAGCTATAATAGCAGAAACCCTACTGAAATGAATGTTTATGAAAATAAGTAACTTGTATTAAATAATTTTAATTCTCCTCATAGGTAGATCAAATATTTACAAAGATTTACAGTACATCTGCCCATATTAAGCCATCTTTCAAGTATACCTGCAGTTATACAGGTCTTAATGTAAAATATTTTCTCTTGCAAAGTGTAAGATTAGGGACTCAAATTCATTACTATACTGGCCAGAATTTGGGTGGTTTTTTTTGAAACATTAATAGCTGTTTGATTTTTTTTCCCCAAAATGTAGTGGACTTTCCTAAATGAGAGCAGGATTAAAATGGAATATGCTCCATTTCATTTCCATTTCGGTAAGTTTTAAAAATCTTATTTCAGCAATCTTATTTCACAGTTTATTATATAGATACATTTATCTTTCTTCTGTGTTAAGTTCACATATTGAAATACAGGGTGGTTTTTGTTATGTCTGCAATGGCACAATTATCTATTATTTTAAAATAATTCAGAACATCTATAAAATAACACTGACTGAAACATCTTACTTTCTTTTCTAGATTAAAGTGACAAAGAAACATTTGACACAGACTTAAACCACACTTTTTTGGCAGTTCTTCAAGTAAGCTATACCTACCTGTAACCTCTAAAAACCAGTTCCAGTGGAAGTACTTGATAAACAGCTAAAACAGGGACCTATGTTGCTAAAGATACAGTTTACATCCACAAAGTGAGTTAAGAAGTAAAAAGCACAAGACTAAACCCATGGTGAACTCAAGGCAGCTGCTGATGCTTCTACTTTTATTTCCATTGTTGTACACAATATTGATTTTGCTGTTAGTGTGAAGGGTCCAAAATTCTGACAGAGTGATGTCAACACTCTGTTGCAGGAGAAAGCTTCTTTCCTTCCTAATGGCCTGTAGGCAAGTGGTAATACATTTAAAGGATTTCTTGTGCTGCTTTCTACAATAAACACATGGAAAATGTCAGTCCTGCAGGGGCCTTATGGATTGCTTGGTAATTCTTACAGAAGACTTTATTATCTGTGGCTTTCTGGAGTCCTTACAATAGTGTCAGATAACAATGACTAACTGGTATGAAAAAGCTGGTTTTACATTTGTAATTAAGCTACTGTTTTGTAGTGCTGGTTTGTTATGATGCAGTCAAAGTAACAGAGCTGCATCTTGCAAAGGTTTTGCAGGCTATCATATGTGGTGAGATGGTATAGAGGCAAAAGGAAGAGCAAAAGCAAGCAGTAAGGAGAATCCTTGCACTTGACTGCTTACAGAGAAAGTCTAAGGGATAGATGTCCCTTTGCTTTCTTTTTTGTGTTGTAGTTCAATTTCAGGCAATAAAACAAGCCCTGATGAAAGGATTTAAAACATTGATACAAAAAACTTTATTTTATATTCTTGCCTAGAAATACAACCAAGAATCTCTGATATTACTTTGAAACAATTAAACAAAACAAATCACATTACAGGACAGTGATCTGAGAAGGCATGACTAGTCCTTATTTACAGATCAAATGCCCCCCTCCCATGAAAAGTTCTATCGCCTATATATGCTGTCCTGGTAACTGAATCTTCCCAATTCAGTCACTATATGCCTTCAGAAGGGACTTATCCCAGTTGAACACCAAGTATTTCTCACCTAGTTGGGAGAAACAACTCAGTTAATCTGTGAGAATAATCTTGGAAGACAGAAGAAAGTCAGATGTCTGATAACATTTTAAGGAAGAATGAGTGGGAAAGGCTAGAGATTAGCTTGGCAACTCAAGGGAAACGTCTTCATCATACTTAAAGGTCTTTTAGGCATATTAGCTTAAGGCTACTATTCTGTTTTCCCATACTGATAGTCAAATTCAAATACTTTGAGAACATAGGACAGAGTGAAAATAGCTGTTGTCATTCAGGCTGGCAGGGGATATTCTTCTCTTGGGCTACAATTTACTAATTCTAACAGAGGAATTAAGCAAAATATTAGAACAATGATGTTCACATGTCCAGCATGTTTCCAGTTTCCAGACAAGTTTCTTTCCATGTCTCAAAGAGCAAATGTTTTCCGTTAACCTCTCTGCCTCAAGGCCTACTATCAAAGTCTACTCTCCTGAAGCTTTCTTCTAAAGAAGCTATAGGTCACCTCTTCGACATTCTGTGAAGTCTTGTCTTTTTCTTCTTATCCCATGTCTACCTGCAGGTAAAAATGCACTGGGTATTTACTGGGTGCTGGCACCTGACAATGAGACTTTTAAGTTTTTCTTTCAGCTGAGGTCAGAGCCTTTTCCACAGGATAGAATAACTGAAGAGAGAAAGCTAGATCCTTTCTCACTGATAATAGAAACAGATGCCAGGGACCCTTTGCCCCTTTGAAAATCTGATACAGCCGCTGGAGTCAATTAATTTATTTTAGATTTTCATACGCACAGGTAAATGAGATTCAACCTTTCACATCCAGGAAAAATGAGAAACGTTTAACTTTCCACAACTAAGCAACTAAACTTTACAAAATTTAGTCAGTTTCTTAATTACATTGGAGTCTAAGTTAGTCCATATACTTACACTCTACAGGGCCTTAATAGTCTCTGCTTCCCACCAATCTACAGGATAACTTTGGTTCCAGTTTAATTAGGCAATTCTGGATATCAGTTTCTCCCTCACTATTCTCTCCGTGTAGCTAATGATGCTGAGCCACCAGCTCAGCTGAGCATGGGCTTCAGCTTCCCTCTCTTGTCACAGTATCTGTGACTAGAAAATCAGACTGTCAAACAAGAACTCGGCAGCAGTTAGTCCCTAGGCAAATGAAACAAGGAACACACCCCCATGCATTGCTATGTAAAGGTACCTTAATGCTTAGCATGTTCTCAGGGAAAATCCTTCTCTCATAGGGTTGAGGACTATTACTCCCGTAAAGAATTAGCAGTGAAAGGGAAACAGATGTTGGAATAACATGTGCCTTCTGCTCTAACTGCTTTTACTCTAAATAGGAACAGCTCTACGCTCTAATTCATCAAGGGAAAGGTCTGCTTGCAGTTAAGTAAACATTTAAAAAACAGTTAAGTAAAATTGAGCTTGATCTTTCTTTTACAGTGAGGCATCCTAGCCATTGTATTGTAGCATCCACTGGCTTAGAGACATGATTATCGTTAAGATACTATTTCACTAAAAAGGAGGGAAAAACTGACAGAAATTACAACCTAAGAAGCATTAAAACCACTCCTGGTTTGAAGAGTAAATAAGAACGTGCTCATATGAAGTTTTTTTACAAGATCTATACATCAACTTATGTCTAATACACATACAAACAAAACCATATGGTGTACACATTCAGATTTTCCTTACAGCATCTGAACTGCAACGAACTTTGAGTGAAAGGAGAAAGACACAGGTAGAGAAGCAATGAACATTCCAACAGGAGGAAAATGTTGGCCAAAGACTTTAACCAAGACAGAATTTCTCTTGTAAGATTCTCCTCTCAATAGAAGATAAATATTTCTAACTGGCAGTCTAAAAGAGTATCTGAAAAAATCAGGTTTAAACACATGACGTGCAATTTGTATATGCCAGCAGAAAGCAAGAATTAGTAAAACATACTCCAGATTTATCCTCTTCTTTCTTTTTGCCTTATTTATAGACACAGTCATATTTGATAACATAACAGCAAAAGTAGAAAAAAGGTGTTTATTGCACGAGTTTATTAGAAGTTTCCAGTCAGGGAAAGATCCAGCATAGAGAAATTGAAGTTTCCTGGAACAGGCAGCAATAGAAGTGTTTTCATGTATATAACTGAAAGATCCTCATCTTAAGACAAATTGCACTAAATTTGCCTTTAATAATTCCAATGAAATTACTTAAATTACACCAAAGACCAGTGAATATAAAGGCCTGGAGAGACCACTATAATAACTGAGTTTGGCTTCCTGCATAGCATGGTCCAGAGAATGTCCAGTGAGAAGTTCAGAGGCTAACAGAGACAGAGAGATTGTTCAAGTTAGCTAGCACTGCCTTCCAGGCCAGTTCTTGTTCAAAGACCTCAGCCTGTGGAATAAACAGGCTGTGTAAACACCAGAGCATGGTGCTCTGTTGTCCAAAATGGAAGTTCTTGACCAAAACAGGCTCCTAGTGTGGCTTGAGACTACTCAGAAACTAATAGTACGAAAGTCCTGAAGAAAGCAATGCACAAATTAATAGATCAATTTGATACACTGAGAAGTGGCTGACAGAACAGTCTGCCAGAGACTATAAGCAAAATGTTCCAGCTTTAGAGCAAAGGCTATAAGAATTTCTCTTCTTAGCACTGCAGTAAGTGACCGACAAACCAGGCGGCTGCACCAGATCAACCTTTTCATTATTTCTTTGTTCCATCCTGTCACTCAAGGGCTCTATCTTCACTTCCTCATTTCCAATACAATTTCTGTTTCAGCTTGTCTGGCTCATCCACTGGGTCTGTTTATGCTTTTCTATGCTATATTTAAAAGTAATTTCATTTCCGTTCTTCAAGAGAAGTGACTTGTTCACGACCAGTATTCCCATCATCATTCAATGATGATTCTATGCTGACTACTGTCAGCTGGACAATTCTTAATCCATTTAACATGCACTCTAGTGTTTTTTCAGTGGTCATATTTAAAAACAGAAAGTCACATGGTACAAAGTTGAATACTATACAGAGTTTTAAGTGTATTATATTTATGCCTCTATTCTTTTCACTCAGTCACACAATCTCATCAAGAAATGAAATCAGGTTTTCTTGAAGTGACCTGTTCTCCATAACATCCCTGGAACAAAATAGTAAATGATCTTTACCCATAGTTCATGTTCTGTTTATTTCATCATGATGCTGGGAAAGTTCTGATGGCTGCAATCCACTGGATTTTATTCCTAGAACTACTGTGTTTCACAGCCTTTCTGGGTCAATATCCTCAGGGCCAAGACCTCTGTTGCTCTGGTTGAGTAAGTCTCTGTTCTGAAACACCTTAAGAATGAGAACACTGAATGGTAGAGGGTAAAGGAACCTAAGGATTATTCTGCAATTTGTTAACCACCCTCTACACGCATCATTGTTTATCAATGGATGGTAGGTTTGGAGTCTGATAACTTATCTCTGAATTCAGTACCTTACTTCATTTGCAGGAAGATATCTACAAATATATAGCTTGATCGATTAGTTAGTGCCAGCACTGATGATGATGTTAAAACAGATGAAGATGGCGTAATAATTGCAGTGAGAAAAGAATGGACTGTTATTTCTGCAGACCTGAAAAAGAGAAATGTAAGCCCTGCAAGGCAAAGGCAGCTTTCCCTCTTTAGCTATTCAGAAATTAATCATAAGGTATTATTCATAGTTGTACATTATAACCATTTGGTGCTGAGATCTTCAACTAGTATAGTTCACCATATCTTTAATAAGGGTGGCTGATGATTTACACTCATGTAAGATATTGGCCTTTGATTTTTAATAGTGTTTAGATAAAAGTTATTAAAATGTAAAGCTTCAGTTTTAATAAGTATACGTTAAAATAAAAAAAAAACCAACCCAATTCTAGAAATATATCTCAGAGAATTCCAAAGTTAATAAATTTAATAGCATCATACATTTCAACTCCCTGGAAAGTGGAATTTATTCTCTCAAAACAATCCAGAATTTTATTTCATTATGATTTGGGATAAGGATATAGAATTTCCATTTTAAGAACAAAATATCTTAAAATATTGTGTTCTGCAAACATGAAAATCTTTTAACAACCATCAAAAAGTTCAACCTCAAGTCCAGTAATAGCTATATTAATTCTATTTTCAGTGCAGTATTTAGAGGAAGGATGAGAAGAAAGTAAATTGGCTAAGGACAGGATTGTTCAGTGCAAACACTTAAATAAGAATGTTAAATAAGATCGCCTATTCCCTAAGACAAGGCAGAGCACAAAGCAGCAGAGGGTCATTTTTAGCTAGACCACCTGAATACCAAAAAAGTGAATATAACAACAACAACAAAGTAACATGACATCACAAATTACCATTAAATCTTTCAGACATAGAGCCAGAAGGATTTCATAAGTTTGTGGGCATAGGTTTCTCTTTTCTCTTCACTAACCATCAGCTCCCCAGTAAATAAATGTCCCTGGGAAGCCAAAGATTTTCCCCTGAAAGACTTTACTCCCTGTGGTCAAGTCCATCATGTTCAACAGTGATGATCCCAACTGATCCAGTGATCCCAAGCAGCAATGATCCTCCATCCCAAGGGGGAGGAATCCAAACTATTTCTAACCTACTTCTTCCTTTTCCTAGGGAAGGCTGAAAAAGTGGGAACATCTCAGCTGGGAAAGGATGGGAGAGTGGCACATGACAACAGAGACAGCAGATCAGGCTAGGCCACACAGATCTGGTGCAGAGCTGAACAGAAGTGGGTGCTCACAGATACTAAACAGTGTTATCTGTGGATACTAAAACTATGACTTTTGGTATTGTATCTGTTTGGAATCACAGTCCTAACAATTATGGTATTACACCATAATACTGAGAGATACCTTTATAGAATCCTAGAATCATAGAATCATTTAGGTTGGAAAAGACCCTTAAGATCATCAAGTCCAACTGTAAAGCTAACACTGCCAAGTCCACCCCTAAACCATTATGTTAAACACATCCTCCTTTCACAGTTTTTATGGCAGAGATGTCCTTTGACGGTGCCTAATTCTGCCATGGCTGCCAAGTATCGTCCTACTGCCACAGAAAAAAGACCTCCACATGCACTGAGGAATCATTCTAAGATTAGTGCTTAGTGCTCAGAGAGGAAGAAGACCCTGCAGCTGCATACTGCCCACTGCAGCATCAGGCTGGCGCTCCCCTTCTTCCCCTTGGCTTCTCCGGGGACAAGCACCAAACATTGTTCTCATCCTGCCTTGGGATATTTGGACTGGGGAAGTTGTTCCTACAATCAAAGCAGGAACAAACTACTGAAATTCACTTCTACAACACAGCTGTAGGAGAAGCTCTAAGCTGATTCTAGTCAAAGTTTCCAGAAGTCGATAGGTCCCGGAATGTTTCTCACAGTTTACCTCTCTGCATTGATTCCACAGGTCAGATTAATCCTTGCAACAAATTAAATGCAACCCAGGCCCAGAGCTGTTTTCTGAGTTGGAGTAGTAGGGCCTGTGGTCTGGAGTATTTCTATTGCATCTTAGAACATCCACAATATGTGAGAGATAATCAACAAAATGCACTGCCCCCTGGCACAAGATACCTACATGGACTTTTAGGGCAAGGGGTAATGTCACTTTGTTAAGACTGATGACAGTTCTCTTGTCTGCAGGTCATCTGAAGGAAGCTCATTACCTAAAATCTGCAGTGATACTCCCAGGGTAAAAATGAGCTTTTAAAGTATATACTGTGTAGTCAACCAATCTACCTAGCAAGATGTAGAACTGTTTTTCACTAACGAATTTATAATTTTTCTTATTTAAATTTTACAATGACAATTGAAGTGTTGGAACTTAGAAGAAAAAATTCTGGAAAGGTAATGGATAAAGGACAATTTGGTAGAAAAAGCAGCATTTGTCTGAGGTTTCTTTTTATCAGATGAAAAAAATCAAGTTACCCAATTGTTTCTATAACTGAAGGGAATAAATTGAATCTGTTTGACCTGTGGCACCCTATGCCAAATTATGCAGAAGTCTCAAGGTTGGAAGTAGCATTAGAATAACGCTCAGCTTCTAATTATTTCACTTTAGTACCTGCTGATTTTTAATTCAAATGAGTTAACAGAAGGAGGAAAATTAACTTACTTCAACACTGGTGGTTGCCAGAACCGTCATCTGAAAAAACAAAAATATGTTGTCACAATAAAAAGTTAGCAATTGAATTAAAAGTCTGAACACAGTCTGTTCTCCTGTATCACAGGCAGAACAGAACAATAATAGCCAACAAAAAGAGTTCGTGGCTAAGATCTTCTGAGAAAGATCTTTAACCTACTTACTGTCTGTTCCCCTATATATAGTGAGGAACTTAAACCCCCTCTTTCTCTCACAGTTGTTTCATAGTTTGTTTGTTGGTTTGTTTTTTTTTTTAAATTGAGATGTTGGAGTGAGCAAAATAAGTAAAAAAATACCCATTTTTTACAGTGGAGTACAGATCAGCTGTTCTCATGGAATTGTGCTTCTAATGGTCCTTCACAGCTAGAACAGCTTCAACTCCTGTAAGAGGTAGGATGTGGCATACAGAAACCCAAGCTAATGCTGGCCCAGATGACATGTCAACTAGTGCCAGCAAAATACCAGGTAGAGGTGGCACGTTAGGCTGCCAATAGAAATACCCATATTGGTACAGCATCTTTCAGCAAAGTTAACTATTGGTGGACAGCATAGCATGTGACTCAAAAACTAAAGTGTTTAAAGCCACAGAGCGGTAGGCATACCTGTCACCATCATCCAGTAGAGACAGGGTCACCTTCACCTGTCCTTTAACAAAACTACTATTCAGTTTTCAAAAGCAGTTTCAACCTTTTCCCATCTGAAACACCCACAGCTGCTTTTTCACCTCCTCTTGCCACTGCTCATCTTCAGTAATAAATCAGTGGTGCCTCATTCCCATCCCAGCAATTCCACATTTCATAAACCAAGAAGCTAGAATCAAAATTTTTCTCCCCATAGAAATGTGATGCCCAGTGTCATCATGGACAGTCTTTGAGCAGAGTTTAAAACTATTGTTAATCAAGAGTTTAATATCCACGCACTGTTACCAGATTTGGCTTTGTCTACAGTAACATTAACTAGAGTGTGCACAGAGAATTTTCCTTAAGGCTGCCTACTCCTACAGGTTTTCTGTGCTGATCAAAGCAGCATCCATGTCTGAGATCCTGAGGAGGGTGACTATCTGTCTCATGTTCTAGAGTAAGCAGGAAATGGCTAATAATGCAGAGCTGCATACAGGTGTTGGAGCATATTAGGTCCACATTTGTTGCAGAAAGCAATGCTTAGTCCTCAAATAGAGAACTTGGTGGTCTACAAATAAATATTTCTTTGCCTTCACTTCAATTTCCGATAGCTGCAGATATGTAAGAGAACATGACATTTCTTATCACAGCAACCAGGGTTAACAAAAGCTTCCAAGCCCTCTTTTAGACAATAATTAAATTCACTAGCAATTTATGTAGTGGATGATGGAAGCCTGTCACTGGTGAAATAGGAGATGATTTTGAAAGCTGTCCTGATGTATACAGACTAAATTAAGCATTCTTAATGCCATCTAACATGACTGACACTAATTATTTGCTGACAAAAAATCGGATTAATTATTATTTAACAGAAGTTTAATAGATCAACAAGCTGTGTGACGGTTTGCAACCTCTTTATTGTTCCTATTCTTATTTGTAAATTGGGGGGGGCGGGGTAAGTTTTTAACTATTCTCAGTTTCTACCCAGTATCAGATAAAAACTTGTCTAGATTGTCAACTGATTCCAAGGATATAACACAACCATTAAGGAAATTGTCAAGTTATATTTGCTTTCCAAAGAGCAAAGAGAATAATACTAAGCTGATCTTGTGGAAAGCTTGGTTGCACTGGACATCAATTTACAGCAGGGTGAAAGAATAGAATATGGCCCTGTCTCTTCCCCCACATGTATGTTTCTTACTGCCCCAGTCAAATGCCCCAGAAGTGGCACAGTTAAATTCTGTATTATATTAGATGCACTAATTATATCAGACCAAATATTATTCATACATGTACATGGAACACACTGACTTCTGTGGGATATATGTGCATCCAAGAACACCATATGTTTAATAATCTGCACTTTAAAAATGCAACAATTATACAAAAATAAGCCCCTCTGTCTATTTGTTGATGCACCGTTCATGAACTCATATTTTGGCCCCTTCACCCAGAGCACAAGTCCCACCAAGCAGCACCTTCAGGGCAAGCATCTTCATATTCACTTACCAATATGCTGCAAAGCCAAACTAGACAAAACAGCTTCACTAGCTGAGATTTTTAAGGCCAGGTCTCTTTAAATCCTTGGTCTCTGAGAGAAGAATGATGCAAAAGGTGCCAACTCTGTATTCGCCTTTGTGATGTGAAGTGATACTCTAGCAACAGGACTCAAATGACTGCAATGTTAAACAACTAGAGTTTTCTCTTCCTTGCATCAAGATGTATCAGAGCAATTCTAATGAAGTCAAAATTCATTTGCTCATATCAACTGAGATCAGAGGTCATATCATGAGTAAATGACTGCTGTCGTAATGCCTTAGTCATTTTCAGAACGTACAGTTTTGTAAGTGAAATTTCAGGTCTCTAATTCACTGCGTTAAGCAGCTGGGTGTAAAATCATTTACACTGCAGTCACTGATGTCAGAGTGACATCAGTCCAGTCTATGAGGAGGCAGCCATTCAACTTGAAAACAGCATGGGGAGGTGGGGGGTGGGGAAGAGAGCTGTGTTTAACATTATACTTTGTGAAATTATTTTTCATAGGTACGTAAGAGGGATAATGCTCTGGAGGACAGAGAACTAGGCTTTCAAATAAATTATTTCAGTATTTACCAAAACTGCAGTATTGCTTTGTTATTTAATCATCCACAGGAGTCCTTTCTTGCTTTACATGCTCCTGTCATAAGTATTATGCACTAATTAGCTGAAACCCCTAGAAAGCATTAATGCTGCTTTAAAGCTTTACTGCCTTGTCTGAAACAATTTTTAATAAACTGGTTGTATTAAAATCGTACTAATGTAAAGTGCCAATGAGCACAGATGTGTGATGAACCTCATAGCATCTAGAAATGCATACCTCTAAATAGTGATATAATCATCTGGGAGACTCATTTACAAATTCTACTTTAACAGAATCTTGAGCCTGAAGTTCTACTTAAAATGGTACAGATCTCCTTACACTTTGCTGATGAGGGGAGTAACTGTGAGGCAGTGTCATGCAGCCTGTCAGAAAATTCAAGACTTTCAAGCTTCTGGATGTTGCTGTATTGAATAACTCTTTATGCAAACAACTGGTAAATGTTTCTGTCCATTCTAGATATTCTCAGTAGCTGTAGAAAATAGTTAATTCTCTGGTTTCCTCTGTATATGCAAAAGTTAATTCCAATGGCATATTCTATATTAAGGGAAGCTTTTTCTAAAAAGAAATGCAGATTATTTTCTAGTAAACTAACTTCTGTTAAGAATGTATTTTATTAGCCATCTCTACTTTTTGTCAACTTCTGTGGACTGTTCAGTAGGTTTATAATTGAAAATAATGTGTATTTCCTACTGTACTTAAAAATATAGAAAAAGTTAACTTTAATAAAAAAAGATATCTAGCTCTTTTTTATGGGTAAGTTTGCATGCTAGATCACAGTTCACTTGGTTCCCATATATACTGCCTAATAGAATAATAAAAAAGTTTGTTTGAGTCTGAATTACCTGGTTGTTAAAAATAGTTAGCACTCCTTTCTGAGAGGATGTTACTGTGAAATCCAGATGGGGCACCTTCACTATACCCTTAATCACATCTTGTCTCTTGACAACTGTCAATGACAAAATATTACTCTTCATCTTACAGACACAGGAAATCTAAACAAACAGAACCATAATAGCAAGAACATTTTCTCTTTCTGAAATGCGTATTTGTACCAACTCCAAGGCAGTAATGCATTATTTCATAGATTATCCTATACTTGATTTAAATAATCATGTTGCATTTTTAAATATCATTAATGCATTATGGATGTACTATTCTTTCTACATTATTTAAAAAATACAGAAAGACAAAGAATAACTGCATGAATAAATAGTCTGAGTCAGACAAATTCATAATTTCAAAATAATTTAGGAAAATGGATAACTGGGCAAGGCAGCAGTGGAGTGTTCAGACGCAATGAGTTTAGTAAAAAAACATATTCTGGAACACATAAGAAGAAGAAGAAGCATGAATAAAAAGCAAAGACAGACATGAGATCTTATTACTGTACTTTCAATAAAGTGTGCAACATACGGCATTATAAAAAGATTAGTTTTGGATACAAGATGAAGTATGTCACCTGCATGAGTAATCTGCTGTTTTTCAGATACAAGGAAAACCATGTTTTCTTCTTTCAGCTGGGAAGACAGGGCATCACTTTCTCCTATGAAATAGCCAAAAATCTAAACAAAACAAAATAGAACAAAACAAAGTGCAACAAATCTACTTCTGGAATATATGTTTATATGTATAAAGTCAAAATTTATCTGACATTTTTATCATTTAATATTCTCTGAATAAGTTTCCTAGTGTTATTTGCCTTAACCATTAGCTGTCAATATGACTTTAGATTGCTAAGATCTGCTGCTCAGGCACAATCTTTCTTCAACATTTACAAAGAAGCCGGCATACACATGGCTTCTAGGAATAAAAACCATCTAATTGATAAAGCTGTTAGTACAGCTTTGCCTTGTAACGATTGTCGGTAAATAGTCATCTTCAATTTCCTTTTTCCAGTTTTACCTACTTGTGCTTCCTCAGCTAGACCTCAGCTAAAAGAAAAAATAGTAAAAGGCAGACAAAACAGATTTCTCTATAAACTGAGAGATTCAAAGTAGCGTAGTGTTTAGCCTACACAGAAGAAGAGCTTTTACATAAAGCTATGTAGATTCCCATTTGCCTGAAAAAAATTGAATACAAAGTCCATTTTAAAAATTCTTTTTCAGAAATCTCCCTAAGCCTGGCAATGTTCCATTTGTACTGATCATGATGGAGATCCCCAGTCAAGATATTCAGGTAAGTAGCTCATTTCTGTTACAGGTTGTGACAATACTTCAGCTGAAATGCTCTCCAAACCTCAAGTCCTGTACCCAAGAGTAGGTTAGTCATTTCCTCAGAAAATGCGTTCAGCCCCACTCAGCCGTACAGATACTTTTGAATCTCCTTTCTCATATTATGGACATTATATTTACTCACTTTCTCTCATGAGTTCTAAAAGCAATGGTCCTTTGGATGCAAGACAAAACTTTGCACTTTTTTCTAGTTCAACATTTTTCATGCTATACAACAGAACTCCCATTTTTCTTCTTTGAGAGATTCAGATCTACATCTTTCAAAAAAATATTCTTACACAACATTACTCTTCATCTTTCACTTCACAGCTCCCTCCTTACCATGCACACAATTGTTATCTATCATACATCGTCAGTCAATACATCGCCTGTCTATTATAGCCCCTTACATTCCCCTTTCTAGTTTCTTGTACTATCACCTTGTCTTTCCATCCTGTATCCAGGCAGGATACAGGATTTAGTATCCTAAATTCGAGGTGTATGCTCCTTCTGCAAAGTCATAATAACATAATCTTCACGATATCCAGCATAAATCAAAAAGTAGTAATAGTAGTAATTCATACATATGGACTGTTTTTCATGTTACAGCATTTTCACAGTTGATTCTCACTGTTTTAAGTTCCATCTGAATCCCCCAGTTGTTTAGTATTAAATAGAAGGGTTCTGAAAGAATTGGTGTGGCTAGAACTTTATAATGGAGTGTTTCCCCAGAAAATTAAGGATGTACTCTTTCCACTATCATCAGTTAATATTCTTCTAGCAGGTTTCCACCTATAATATGTATCGACAGTGTTACAGAAACACAGAATCACAAGGTCATGAGGTTGAAAAGGACCTCTTGGGATCATTTAGTCCAACCCCCCTTTCCAAGGGGGTTAGCTACACCAAGTTGTGCAGGACCGTCTCCAGTTGCGTTTTGAATATCTCTAAGGATGGACACTCCACAGACTCGTTGGGCAACCTATTCCAGTGTTTGATCACCCTCATGGTAAAAAAGTGTCTTCTATGTTCAAATGGAATTTCACATGTTTCAATTTGAGCCCATTGCCTCTTGTCCTGTCAGTGGGCACTAGGGAGAAGAGTCTCTCTCTCTCCCCTTCATCCCCCATGCCCTCCCCTGCTTAGGTATTTACACACAATGTTAAGAGTCTTCTCTTCTCCAGACTAAACAGTCTCAGGTCTCCCAACCTTTCCTCATATGAGAGGTGCTCCAACCCCTTAATCATCTTCATAGTCCTTCACTGGACTCGCACTAGTAACTCCATATCTCTCTTGTACTGGGAAGCCCAGACCTGGACATTGTAGTCCAGGTGTGGTCTCAAGTCCTGAATAGAGAGAAAGGATCACCACATTTGACCTGCTAGCAAACCTCTTCCTAAACCAGCCCAGGATGCTGTTGGCCTTCTTTGCTACAAGGGCACATTGCTGGCTCATGTTCAAAGGACCAAAGGTCTTTTGTGCAGACCTGCTTCTCAACTGGTCTGTCACCAATGTATACTGGTGCATGGGACCAGTTCCTTCCCAGGTGCAGGACTTTGCACTTCCCTTGTTGAACCTCATGAGGTTCCTGTCAGCCCACTTCTCCAGCCTGTTGAGGTCCCTCTGAATGGCAGCAGCACAACCCTATGGTGTATCAGCCACTCCTCTCAGTTATATATTTGCAAATTTGCTGAGGGTGCACTCTCTGCCATTGTCCAGGTCATTAATGAAGATGTTAAATGGTATCGGCTCCAGTATTGACCCCTGGCATACACCACTAGTGACTTGCCTCCAACTGGGTTTTGTATCACTTAGGGGTTCAGACAGTATTCTTTCCACCTCACTGCCCACTTACTTAACCCATACTTTATCAGCATGTCTACGAGTATGTTATGGGAGACAATGTCAAAAACATTACTGAAGTCGAGGTAGACAACATCCACTGCTCTCCTCTTACCCACCAAGCTAGTCACCTCATTGTAGAATCCTATCAGGCTGGTTAAGCATGATTTCTATGATTGCCCCTTTGTAATCCATGCTGACTACTCGTGATCACCTTCTTGTCCTACATGTGCTTGGAGATGGTTTCCAGAATTAGTTGCTCCATCATCTTCACCAAGAATCGAGGTGAGGCTAGTTGTCCTGTACTTCCATGGATCCTTTCCCTTGCCCTTACTGAAGATAGGAGTGACATTTTACTTTCTTAAGTGTATGTTCACATTTTCCAGGCAGTGGAGAACAGGTCCTTCACCTTTCTGGGGACTAAGATTTTGGTGGGAGGACTTTTTCTTTAATGATAGACTGACCTGGTATCAGGTCGCTCCTGAGTCTTGACAGGATGCTGGATGCAGTGGTTGGGCTAGCCCAGTAGCTGCCCTAAAGCCAACAGAGGTGGAAGTTCTCAGTGAGACACGCAGGTGTGTCCTGTCATGCTTCCTGTAGACATGAGGCGGTGCCATATCTGATCTTTTGCTTCTGCCTAGCAGGCAGAACACTGCCCAAAGAAAGGGCATCTTAGAAATCCCTTACAGCTGCATAAATGGCTTCTTCTGACTCCAACATGGAGACAGGGGATCCCAACAAGCTCCACCCCATAATGTCTACCAGAGGTTGACAAAGAGCATAAAAGATGAAGCAAAATGCAATTTACACATCTTTCAGATATTTGCTGCTAAAAAATAGAGCTTTCAAAGTGCAAACTATATTTGGGAAAGAGATGCAGAGGTCAGTTTCCCAAATCATTGATAAATGACAGCTGTTAGACTGTCCAGGATAGGTCTTCTAAATTTTGAAGCCAGTAGATGACTAAGGGTAGATCTTAATTTAACTAAAGAGAAGATTTAAAATTACTTTTTTTTTTTAATAAAAAAGTGTCCTTTGAGAATGGGTATATTGTTGTGGAGACTGCTGGAAACTTAGGAAACCCTTGAACATGGAGGTACTTGAAAAAGAGAAACATCGGGAAGATAAAGAAATAGGAACACTCAAAAGACCATGATCTTTTAGGTCACGGAAATATATTTGGAAGAGTTTGTCAAGATAAAGAGAGGACAGATATGGAGAAGTAAATTTGAAAAAATTAGATCTGTGAGAGTAGGAAGAGAGGAATAAGGGGTCAGGGATAGAGTTCTGGGAAAGGGGGGCAAGGGAGAGACGGAGGTGATAAAAGAGAAATATCAAAGGAACAAAGTGACCTGTATCCCTCTTCCTTGACTTTCAAGACTGAGGGCATGCTCAGCAGTGCCAAAAGCAGCAGGGGAACTCAGAAGAACCAGGATGAAATACAGTCCTTTTAGAAAAAAATCATTAGAAAACTGGAGCACAGACAGCAGAAACCATGATGGCTATTTAGGATGTTACAGAAAGCAACTGTTATCAATGATACATTTGAAAAATTAAGTGATAAAAAGGAAGCTGAAGCAAGATCAAGGCTACTTACATTGTTCACAGGGGGTAAGTAATCCAAGTTGCAGTTTACAGATGTGATTTGTCTTATATAACTAGTAGGTTAATGAACATAATAAGAATGAATGTTATCAGGTAAGGGAGGCATATTTGTATCTTTCACCATCTCTCTCAAACAACACCTGGTCTCAACTAGAATACCCAGAATACTCTCCAGTCTTAAAAGGCCAATTACCATTTCAACAGAGTTTTCAAGCATGTAAAGGAGCAGATTTGCGTTTTTGTTTTGTTTTGTTTTGTTTTCAGAAAAAGTGAAATTTCACTTAAAAGGAATGAAAAGGCTAAGGAGGATGAGAAAAGCAAGTGGGATGTAGGCTGGTCAAGTGCTAAATACAGTCAACTTAAAAAAAATAAATTAAAAAAGAGGAAGAACTACAAATATGGGTGGAAGGAAAAAAAAAGTCTATGATCCTCACCAGTAAGTAAATGTGTACATCTTTGAATGTCAAGAAGTGAAAAAGGGATGAGGAGACTAGAGCTGTAGTGCAGCTACACTTACAAGCCTGTGGCATAGTCAGAAGAACAAAGAACACTGGCTTCATTCCTGACATTAGTAACTCTCCAGGATTACCTGGACTATTCTGAAACTGTAGAGTTTGTCGGAGAAAAAAAAATAAAAAAGACCACCACCACATAATATGTAGGATACAAACCAATCCCATTTTATTTTATTAGAACCCATTCAAGTAAGCCTGGAAATATCTGTTTTGATCCAATCACTACAGATAGGATGTTATCACAATTACAGTAGATCAAAAGCTGATGCTGAAGCTATGGTTGATGTAAACTGGGCTTAGACAACAATCAGATGATCAATGCAATGATTATTCTGTTTCAGTGTAAGCTAAATCTGGAGAATTCCAGGAGTCAGCAGTTTTCTTAATTCAGTTTTCAGCTCTTTCTCTATACACCGCCTAACTGTAAAACAAACTTTATCCTTTTGCCCTGAAAGAAGCTTAGATTTATGTTCCATAGTGTACAGATAGCTTGTATAGTTGTAATACATATCACCATCAGATTTCTGGCTAAACAGAAGAAAACCCAAAAAAGTGAAAAATCCACTGCAGCTTTTCAATGCAGTATTATATTTCAAACTGTGCTGGATAAGGCCATGTCAAGGTAAAGAAATCAACGTCAGACTGAAGCTGATTCAAATAGTCTGATCTTTGTCTGTTTCATAACTGAATTACTACTTCCATCACAGATGAATTTCCAGTTACTTTATGTTAAATATTTCTCCCCACAAGAGAAAATAAATAAAAAAGCATATTAAGACTTTAATCAGGATTCTTCTGAACAGAGAAGTAACAAATATTTCTATTTCACTCCCTGTGGCAGTCAATATAGTCTCATTGATATCCATCTTCTACGTGAAATGCGTGCTTTTTTCAAGGAAGTTTATACATAGGGCATTTTAAAAGGCTGTCATCAGTCAGCTCGCACTTGGTAAAATTTGAGGAATGCTCATAGAAAGGGTTCTGGGGAATTTTATCCCAGGCAAATCCCACACAGATTTCATAAGGAAACTAAAAGAGCTTCACCTCTTTTATTAGACCCCATACTGCACACGCTTGTGTAATTATGTAACCCAGGTACCTAGTCTGATTGCATTGGAAACTCAAGTAAGGTTTTGGAGTAAAAGATACTCACTCCAGTAAACAAACAGAGCTTCCTTCAGTTCTCTTATAAACTAATGAGCCTGAACATAATTTGCTACTGTTCTGCTTCCCTAAACAAAGGACTCTCAGTCTGACAGTCACCATGAATTCAGAAGTACTTTTCTCAACTGGTCCCTGTTTCATACCCGTAGAGCACCTTACTCTATATGGGTTGTGTGTCTAGCTTGCCACATCTACACAAGAGATTATGTCACCGCTCTCCAATCCCATACAAAAAGCAGTGAGAAGTTTGAAATGAGCTAGAGAATTTTGAATAGTACAAGAACTTGACTAGTGCTGTAATGATGCAGTACATCAGCATGTCTGATGGCAGCTGGCCATTTCAAGAACTTAGCTTGTATATCATGTACCAGCAAATGCAGAAATGTCTTTTTCTCCCCCTATTTTTAGAGAGTTTCAAAGAAGTGCTGAGAAAAGCCAGGACGTCACCTTTAAGCATCCTCTCATGGTGAAAAGGGAAGAAAGGAAGAAGGGTGACATGCAAGTAGGAGACATGCAAAGATAAAAGTTTTCAGATTTACCTCTCACAAGTTGAATTTAACAGTAGAGGAATTGGATGTGGCCTAAAGTTCTACCTGATACAGAGGGCTTATAGGCAAATTCACTAGAAGGCAGTTACATGATGTTTGATGTCCTCTACAGCTGACTATTTCACAGATTTCCCCCAGGCCCTCCTTGAAGAAAATCTTTAATGCCTGACATAAGCAAAGTTTGTAAGTAATGTGGCATTGTAAGTAAAAACAATGTTAAGAGAGGTATTAACCAGAAATGTTCCCATATGGAAGCTTATTAAATTGAAAGGACCGAATACACTGTTTTTAGGATGGTATTAGGAAATTACTTGATAGGAATTGTTGATAACATGTAAAGACCAGGTGTTGGGTATCTTCAAGGTTCAAATAATAACATGATGTTCCAGTGTAATGTAAAATGGAAATATACTAATGAATTTATAGTTCATGCCACTTGTTAATACCTTGCCTTATGGCTTTAAGTCCAGCAAGGACTTGCCATGTATGCAATGCCACCTATGCTATCACAGGAAAGTTACTGTGTGCTGGAAGTTACGTCCCATCTGCACAATTCTGTCTTCACATAGAAAACAAACAAACAAACAAAATCTTGTAGTAACGTATGATCATGAATGCTTTTGATACAGACTGGCTCTAACAATGTAAAAATCAGTCATTTTTATGGAACAGTTGCTAGAAACACTATTCATGAGAAATACTTTAATAAAAGATACTCTTCTAGAGCCAGTGTTCATAATTTCTCATAATACATGGGAAAAAAAAGGCACCACGTTTAAAAGAAACAAGACAAAGTACTTTTTCACAAAATGTGTAAAACTGTGGATGCTATGGAAGTATCCTTTTTAGGTGGGTTCAGAAGTAATTTACAAATGGATAGATTAAAAGTCCATCAAGGGATAGTAAACAGAGAGTGCAGTTGCAACTCTGGCACAGAAAATCCTTGAGCTATATGAAGCCAAAAGCTAGGAGGGTAAACCAAACCATTTCATAGTTACCTCATTCTTACACAAAGATTTGCTGTTTACAGCCATTAGAGATGGAAAAATGGATTACATCTCACCCATCTACAGACTCAAATAATACATACAGAATTCTCTGATTAAAAAACTCTCTACTAAAATGCTGCCATACCTCTAACGCTTCACATTTAAAGTAAAGGGAAGATTTATCCCTGTGAAAAGGGGAAGAGGAAGGAGAGGAAGCAGAGGAAAGAGAGAAAAGAGAGGAAAGAAAAGAAAGAGAGGAAGCATTTCTGATGGTTTAGCTAAAGATAGACGTATTCTCAGAGTACAAATTGCATACTGTAGTCATAAGAGATTTTGCATTTTGTCAAGAAGCCTGAGGCCAATGCATATCACTGAAGTAGTTCAGGAGAAGACCTGGACATACTCAGGCTCCATGCTCCAGATCCTGCTGCCTTGTCAGGAATCTAGTATATCAAAATTTGCTTGAGGATATGGAGTTCTGGTAGACAGCTCAGTCTCTTTGTTTCACAAAACAAGCAGGAAAAACATTTTTATTTAGTTAGGTCATGCTTTAACATGTATTCATGTGCATCTATATAATAGGCTCAAGGATCTTGGTTCAGAGGGAACAGAGACCAACTTCCTCAACTCATGTAAACCAGTGTAGCATAATTAATGTTTAATAAGAATTTTGATTTGCAAGTTCAGCTGATGTACCAAACAGATAGGGATAGGAAAGAAAAGTAGTTCACCTACAAATAAAAATGTAACCTACCCAGGCTTTATTGAATTAATTCTAATTTACCTTCCTTATCAGACCTCCAATGGCATGCCTTTATAAGGACAGATACCTCTCAAAGAAATTTCATACATATTTGGAATAAAAAAGTCAAAGTCTTGCTTGCTGGAATTACTGGACTGATTTCGTAACCAGCACAGTATGAGCAAGTCTTGCTCTTAAGAGTCTGCTAGAATTAGCAGCATGGACTCCCCATGTGTTAAGCTGTTTTGCATGATATATTTAGAAGTCTGAAATTAGCCAGAGATAGTCAGCAGAAAATCTAGTACAGGGAATCTCTTAGCAAAAAGCTTGTAGGGACAACACTGTCATTTGCAAAATACCCACCTGTTTATACACATGAAAAAGGGGGGAAAGGCAGGGCTCAGCAAAGGTCTTCCATACTTAATCTTTCACTGACACGACGGCCTGAAAGAACTAGTCCTCACTCTAGTGAAGTAATGCCTCTAGGGATTATTTTCATATTTACAACTTACACTTACACTGAATACTGATCTTCTGATGCTCAAGCTTCACATTCCAGGTTTTGGCACTAGGAACATAGGACTTTTCTTACTTAAACTAAAATTATAACAGCATAGGGCACAGAATAACACGAGCTAGAAAGAGCTAAATTTTACAATAATACAAACTCCTTCAGCTCTCAAGGCACATACCAGAATGGATATCACCACTCAAATTTCACAAGAGAAATTCCAAAGACAGATTTTACCCTCTTATCTTCAAATGTCTTCCCTGGAAACTTGCATTTAATCAACAAATGGACACATGCAAGTTTCTAAATTGTTTACTATCGAACTAAACATGGAGCCTCTTTCTCAACTTGTTAAAATTAAACATCACTTCTTGAATAGGATAACATAGCAACAAGTAAGGTATTCTAAGCCAGTTCTTCAATTTAGCTTTTGTCTAGATCAACCAAAACAATATATTTTATCTAATTTTCTAGCTTCAAAGGCATATCTGTTTTCCAAATAATATTTTTTTTTTAAATGAATGGCAGCCAGGATAAATAACAACATGAAAGTGCCCCATTATGCCATGGAGGTCATGAACAACAGACTCACGAACAGCACATAATCAACAGCTTAATACTGTTACCTTTTAAGATTCCAATTAGTTGTTTATGTTTAATAAAGTTTTGGAAATCCTTACCTCACACCATTCTGCCCTTGTATCAAGGTTGTTGCTAATCTTCCTGAAAAAGGCCTTAACATTATGATCCTTGACTTCTGGACCAAAGAGTGTCTGTGTGGTTGTATAGAACTTATCATAGTCTATCTCATCTGTATGGGAGGAACAATATCCACAGAGTTAAAAACTGGCAAGGTACAGCTTCCTTCCTTATTCCCCCTACCTCCTGTTTTATTTTTCCTTCAATATCAATAGCATGCAAGTTCCAGCTCCTCACACTGTATTCAGTAAAGCATTTTGGAAAAAAAAAAAAAGTTCAGTCTTAACATTCAGTCTTTTCAAAACCACACGATTTGCAATATATGACAGGAAACAGATAGATAAAAGAATGGGTGAAAAATTCTCACCTCTTCTTTCTTCCCTTACTCTCATACCACAATTCTGGTTTGTTGATCTGAACCTGAATGGTGTCCTGGGATAAAGTTTATCCTTTCATGCAACAATAGCCACTTGCATTGAGAAAAGCAAAACTTCGCCCTGATTATTTACAAGTAAGCAACTGGATTTACATAATTCATTGGGTCTGTGCTTTTACAGATCACTAGAAACATTGCATCGTGCTAACCTGTATATGTGGCAGCCCCGCCAATTATATTTTGTGAGCAATCATCATAGCATTATAATTTGACCAGAAGTCCTAACAGGAGGAGAAAAGCACTCTCATAGCACAATCTGTCTATTTTCTGTAAAAGTCAAGAAGTGACAGTTTGAACATTAATTTGAAGTCTTTCTTATAGTCTTGTCTCTATGACACCTCCTCTCCATATGAAAATTACACTTTTCCATTAGAAAGAGTATCTCTTACCATCATCTTCAATATACAAGCCTAATCTCTCCTTTGTCTTCTGGGTTACCGTTTTCTCAACTAGTTTCTGGAACTGCTTCAAAGCATTCTTGAAATCTGGCACTTCAAGAGCAGAGCAACTCTCCTTATCACAATGCTTCTTTTCAGACATCCTTTATTAACAGAGGACAAGGTAAGAGGGAGAGCTCTTCTTACAGCCTGGTCCAAGCCCTGTTTTGCCCCTTAAATCTTAAACTCCCACGAGTTCACGTGAGATGCAGCTGCATGACAGGTATACCAAGCACTACATAATAAAAAAGAGGTGACTCTGGCTTAGCATCTCAGTGAACGGTTGATGTCACAGCCCCCCATTACATCACAGAATCCTACTCACTGAGCAGCCCTAGGTCACAAACCAGGATCACTAATAACCTGGCATGTGAGATTATTTCATAGTATCTCGTGCAATTGGTGGTTGAACAGGCATGAACTTTCTCACGTCCAGAGCCAGACAAGGATTTCATCACGGTTCAATTCTGCTACAGCCAGCACAGCTTTAGCAATATGAGATCACATTCTCCAGTAAGAATACACCTTGGAGACCAGCTGTTGCATGTTTATCATATTTTTCAGACTTTTGTACTGAGGGAGGATTAAGGAAGATTATACCAGTTATCTCTAAGTTTCATATTGTCTTCTTACCCTTTGGATTATTTTCAAGTTTTCTGCCAAAGGCTGCACACCAGCCTGGTGTTAGGAACAGTTAGGAACAGCTGCAATTGTGGATTCCCTTGGATCCACACATCATTTGGTGAAGAATGACAGAGCCAGTTCTCTATTTATATTTGCTATGACAGGATAACTGGGACAAACCTGGTGATATTCTAGCATTTGCTACTGCTGCAAGACTCGGCCAAGGACCTCAATCTAGGTGGGGATGCCTGCTTTTAGAGTAGCAATAAGAGCATTTTACCAGGGATATTAAGTTATGAATCATTATTCATGTACTATAAAGAGGTGAAAGACATCCAATTCAATCTGAAAAGAAATAGAAAAGCATTTTTTGACAGTTAATTCTTGGGACTAATATTGAATGTTTGCTTCCTTAGTAAATCTATCTCCATTTCTTGAATATATGCCTTGCTGTCCTCTTTATTGCATTCAAAATCACTACTCAGTGAACTAGAACTTCCAACCTAGAAACCCAATTACCCTGCAGAAACATTTTTTAATTGCATATATCATTATGATTGAGATTGCGAGAAATCCGCTGATGGAGTGCTAGAGGTTTAGTTATTTTCAGCTGCCCAATTACTTCTCCCTTAAGCTCTTACAGCCATTCAAACTCCCTTTACTTGTCTTACTTAACTTCCAGTCAAGTTACCATTTCTTTCTTTCTGCTAACATACAACTAATGAGCCCAAAGATTAAGTGTTAGTTCTTAACATGCGCCTGGCCAAAGCTCAGCTATATGTCTTAAATGGTTACTGTTTTGAAAAGGATCTGCATTTAACTTGCACTTAGGTTCAGTCAGGATCCTAAAGTCAGAATAATCCTATACCAAGGTACCCCAAGGACCTTTCTGGTTTTTGTTCTCAGGGCATACTTAAACAAAAGCAGGATGAGGCTATTCAGAAAGCAAAATTGCAGCTACCGCTTTCTTTTGAAAGTGGCAGCCCAGAGCGCTCACTGACTAATCAAAATTGTTTGATGTGCTCCCCAATGTCTTGAGGTCAGACAGAATTTTTGCCCTGCAAGAGCACTAGTCCTTGTGTTATATTATCTGTGTTGTCTTTCTATCCCGCCGCATCTAAATTCTTTACTGAATAGTGGAACCCTAGGGTATTCTACTGGAGTGGTGGAAAAGTGAATTTATTTTTCCTCTAGCTGAGAGAATTGAATCCAAAACTATCCCCTGAATGAGTAACGCAGTGACTACTGAAGAACGGGTAAGTACCAGTTCTTGTGGGAATATTCTAAAGAATCAAGCTTCATTCATTCTTTGGAAAGGAATGATGTAAAAAGTTGTCTTCAAAGAATGGTTCAGTGCAGTGAATTTCAAGAAGGAAGCATTTTCCTGAAAAACAAGGTGCTTGAAAAAGGAGTTTTACAATTTGCACCTGTGATCATCAGTAGTCTTCTATTGGCTGAACAGTCACAGTTTAAAAAAAAAAAGCTATAGGTATCTGTAATTAATATGTTAATTACTTTGGATCATGTTATGATCACAGATTCTCTGCATATGGAAGCTAGTTATCTTGCTCAGCGTTCTGTATTCTGTGCTATACCTCAGATGATCAACTTTCAGTTCCTACAACCCTTTACTGAATCTGATCCCTTATGCTTGATAACATTTTGCAAATTGTAAAGGCTTACCATTTTTTGACACTGCCATGTGAGGCAGTGTGTTCTAATGTGAAGTCAGAAGAACTGTGTTCTTGTCGTGGCTCTGCCATTTCTTCTTTCTTGGTAAGCTTATCAGGTTGCTAAAATCTACCTGTAAAACAGGAACAACATCCCAACCCTAAATTAGTTCCTTTAAAGTATTACTAATCCTTATAAGTTAATGTCTACATTTTACGTGTGCAATATCTGCAGTTCCTTTCATATCACTACAGTATGCTGACATTAAATTCTGGCACCTTTCCATTTACCACACTACTCCCATGCCTGCTGCACATTTACATGAATATTATTAGCATAATAAATATAACTGAACTGTAATTGAAGGTGAACAAAACTGTTCATGGCATTAGCTATGCTTAAGCAAACATGCATTTACATTTGTTCACTGATCTTCCAGTTAGTGAAGTCATTAATTCACATTCATTAACACAATCACATATTTCTGTGATCAACAAAATTCTAAAGTACTTCAGAGAAGCACAGCAGTGATAATGAGTAGAGGCTGGTATCTTCTGCCATTCAGAAAAAATGGAGCTCATGAAGAAATCATGAGAAAAGTTGTTGTCCCTCTTTTTATTCCACTTGCCAAGGTAACTTACATAATCCTAGATTATTTTTGTTTTTATACCAGTGCAGACATTACTGCTTTATTAAGCAGATGATTAAGTTTTGGATGAGAAAATTCAACTAGAACAGGCAGGCCAAAATATCCCCTTTGACCCTAACTAGTGTCCTTGTGCCCAAATTTAACAGAGGCATCATGAATTCATAAAGTTTAAGTCCAGAAGAGACCTTGAGATCTTCTACTTTCACCTCCTCTATGTTACAGATCATTAAATATCAGCCATTTATCACTATAATGAGCCCAACAACTTTGTTCTAAAGCATAAACTTGCGGAAAGGTATCAAGTTTTAATCTGCAGACACTAAGAGATGGAGAATCCATCATGTTTGTTCCAAAGGTTAATTGCTCACATTGTTAAAATCTAAGCCTCCTACTTGAATTTGTGTGGCTTCAGCTTCCATTCAGCAATTGTTGGAACGTCTTCACTGGTTTAGAGTAATAGTTGGTATATTCTCCTACTAGGGGCCTTTGTACCTGAATTACTTCTCCATTTTTTTCTCTTGTTAATTAAAGCAGACTGAACTCTCTGCCTCCTACTGCAACACTTGCCTTCAGGCCTCAAAATAATGTTTGTGATTCTTTTCCACATTTTTCAGCTTTTCAATATCTTTAAAGAACGCTGATGCCATGTTGCTGTGCTATGCCATAATAAGCAATTTGGTACTCTGGTCAAATAAAGAATTTCAGTCTATTTGTTAAACTCACTTTTCACTAGACCATATCGATCAATTTCTTTGTATTGTTCTTCATCTATTCATCTCCAGATCAGCTTTTCTATTACTTCACCCAAGGCTGATGACAGGCTTATTGGTCAAGGCTTTCTTTAATTGCTCTGCATGGAATCTCTGCTCCGTGGAGATTCTGTAGTTGAAAGGAAATGAGAAATTATATTTTATATTTTTTTCTGGCTCTCTAAAGGATTGACATCAACCAGGCATGTTTCAAGAATATCAAAATCACTTCTTCAAAAATACAGATAAAGACCATAGTCTTCACACACACTTGAGAAAATCAGCTGAACAACAGTTCTGAAGCATATAGGGAAGACAACAATTTGGCATTAAACAAATTTACTTTTTATTTATTTAAATATTTAAATAAATAAATATTTTTATATTTAATTATATATTATAAATAATATCAGTATCAATATCAATATCAATAAATATTTAATATATATTAAATATATATTTACATATATTATTTTTATAATGCATGTAAGCGTCTCTGCATGAAACAGGTAGTTCTTCAGGGAAAGTGGTGTTTCAAGATATGCTACCTAACTTTCTAACAGAAGCAATGCAATTGCTTGAAGTTCTATAATTTCCACTGGGAAGGGCACAAAAGTTTCTGGGTACTCCCGCTCAACAGCAATGAGTATGTCTTTCGATTACAATAAGGAAGAGAGTTTGGCAGAGAAAAGCAGCACTGATTCCTGGAAAAGGGAGGGATAGCTTGAGGATGCATTTTTGCTAGTTCCAACAGTAATTCTCCAGGAAAAGTTTACCTTGTGTGTCAAGGTACTTGGTGGTTGGTCAGATACTGTATCTTGGTCAGAGTTACAGTGTATTTGATACATTGCTTCCAGCTGAATCCTTGTTAGGTAGTGTTTCCTGTTGATTAATTTTTCCAGTCTGTATCATCTAAGCTTGTATGACACGAGGCTATATTCTCATTTCCCAATTAATAACAGTGGTTTAAGGTTTATAAAAGATATTAACATCCATCCTTGGAATGGAAAGGTTAAGAACAGAAAGCTATGTTTTGTTCTCTTGCAATCACCCATGAAGAAACTTTGTGTTATAATGAAAATACACAGAAGGCCCAAATAAGGAACCATTGCTTTCAGTACTGGCAGATTCTGTTGTCTTCAATGTTTAAACTAAAAAAAAATGTACAGTACAATTTTAAAAGAAGATGTGATGACTGAGTGGACTGGGAAACAAAAGTGGAGAAGATAGGAACTGCATTAGAAGATAAGCAAAGTCTAAAGGGGAAATTCAATATTAAATTGATGAGTAACAGGAAGCCCTTGCATTAGTAAGTCTGCAGTAGCATTAACTGAATGAAAAGCATTTTCTTTCCTGTCTCCCTGACTGATACTGTGGAAAGCACTGGATATGGAATATGCTAGAGTTAAT